TGGATGGATGGATGAGTGGATGGATGGATGGATGAATGGATGGATGGATGAGTGGATGGATGGATGGACAGATGGATGGATGGATGGATGATTGGATGGATGGATGAGTGGATGGATGGATGGATGAATGGATGGATGGATGAGTGGATGGATGGATGGACAGATGGATGGATGGATGGATGGATGATTGGATGGATGAGTGGATGGATGGATGGACAAATGGATGGATGAGTGTGTGGGTGGATGGATAGATGGATGGATGAGTGAGAGGGTAGATGATGGATATAAGCATGTATTGATATGGGTAGATGGATGGATGGATAGATGAATGGATGAGTGTGTGGATGGATGGACAGATGGATGGATGAGTGAGTGGGTAGATGGATGGTGGGTTGGTGGGACGAGTGGATGATGCATGCGTGGATGGATGAGTGGGTAGGCGACCTTTTTAATGGCTTGGTAATGGCAGATAGAATGATGACTGCGAGAATGGATAGCTGGGTGCATGACTGAAAGCTTGGCAGAGGCCAAGCTTTGAGGTGATGATAATTACAATCCCTTCTCTTCATGGTGAACATGCAGGGACTCGATTCACGGGACGTCTAATCACAGACCTGCACCTGGCCTCGGGGGACACTAACTCTGACCTTCAGAAGGGAAGCGTGCAGAGGTCGAGAGCCAGGAGCTGCTCCGGTCCCCTGAGCTCAGGGGTTTATCCTCAGCCATACCCCTTCCCAGGTTCCCCACAGCCTCAGGACTATCCTGGCTGCCCACTCACCAAGCACCCTCACACCATGCCTTCCCCAGAGAGTGGACAAGCAGTGCTCCCGTCCCTGTTTCCCTGCGTAGATACAGGTGGCCCGTGGCCCTACTCTCAGGAAGCCCCTCCCACAGTGGGGACATCCTGTCCACCTTCGTTCCTGGACTGTATCAGCCACTTAAAGAGCTGTATGCCCATGTTCACCTGGTGAACAGGGTCCAGAATCAGGCAGGCCCTGAGTAGCGACAATTGGCACTGAGAGACTTCAAGCCCCACACAGAAGGGTGCCTGTCCAGGGAGGCACCAGGGACAGAGGAGGGAGAGCAGACCCATCACCTGAACTTGTAAGTCTGCGTCTGCATTTTGACCAACAATGGAGTCTGGTTTGTGATAAACCAGGGTTCTCCATCCTCAATAAAGGGTGGGATCTCGTTCGCGAAGACGCGGGCGTCCAGCTCCCTGGCGAGCGCAGCCGTCAGCGGCAGGTGTCTGTGGTCGGTGGAGTAGACGTGCATCTCTGGAGGAAGCGCCAGGTCGTCCTTCAGGAGGAACCGTTTGTACTCGTAGAAGAAGGGGTCTTGCTCTTCGGGCAGGCCCCACTGGGCCTTCTGCTCATCCGAGAGGCTGATTCTCTCTCTCGAGTGCCCCAGAAAGGCGGAGAACTCCGGGAAGTTGAGCAGGGAGAAGCTGCTGGGAGTCTTTGTGCACAGCTTGATGAGCTGGTTCCGGAACCACAGCCCCACGTCCTGACTGCCATCGGGGTAGGTCTCCACGCCCGGCCCAAACCGAACGTCCATTTTATACAGCCCCTGCAGGGGAAAGTGACGGGCTGAGAGAGCTGCCCACTTTGTGGCCAGCTTTGTAAAATCAAAAGAAAATGTATTCCTGAGAAATGTGCTCGTTCATTCGGCACTCGCTCACTGAGGCATGGGATGCACTGGGCAGGGGCCGAGACAGGCTGGCTCTTAGACAGGGGGCAGCATAGATGTGGGAGTGGGGACTGGGGCACCGCTCTGCAAGGGTGAGGACAGGACCCAGGGCTTCGAGGTGAAGGTGTGGGGGAGACACAAGGTGGCTTTATGCCAGGGTCAGCCACCAGGCAGCTCTTTCAGGACAAGCTCCTACCCGGGGAGAAGCAGCTACCCCTTCAAATGACTGGAAGTTGCTTTCCATTGGTTTGTGGGTTTCAGATAAGGCCCTTCAGAAAACCCTGCGAGGACCCCGTCCCACCACAGGGCCCCTCCACACATGCTTTCTCCAGTGGCCTGACCACATGTCACTCATTCCCCCAGCGGTCCCTCTGCCATTTCCTTTGAGCATGTGATTATGACCAGGCACTGAGGGAGCTCTGGGACATGACAGCAGAAGGTGGCTGAGCTCTTCAATGTCAACATGCACAGGCCCCTGGGAGAGCTGGCTCCCTCCAAGCTCTCCTCGCCTGCGGCAAGCGGAAGCCTCTGTCCTCGGTCACTCCTGACGTCACGTGCTTGCTTTGCACAGCACAGAGGTGAACCGGTTGCACTTGGTCCCTTAATGACAGGGGACAGACAGACGAGGATGGTGAGGACATGAGGTAAACTGGGCCCACCGTGCAGACCCCCAAGGGTTGCTTTTCCAAGAAGCAGTTTGCCCACAGCCCTGCCTGGCCTCAGGGGACAGGACGTCCCATTCCTCAGCAAACTGCCTGTCTGCAGGAGAAATGCAGGCCCCAAACCATGCCTGTGGAGGAACCCGAGTCACCCTGAAGGGGGAACTGACCCTTATACAGACCAGATCCTGAAACCCGGGAGATAAGGGTAGCTCCTCCTAACCACAAAACCCGTAAGAGTGCATGGTCAGAATCCAGTCAGAACCAGTCGGCATGGGCAAGGGGACCTGGAGTTGCCCTGGCAGGGGGACTTAAAAGTCTGATGTCATCTTAATGTCAGTCAGAAGTCAAGAGGTGGACCTGGTGGGACTCTCTGGAAACCTCTCTGGGACCCCAGGAGAACTGGAGTGTAGGACAGGCACGTGTCCCTCTCCTCTCTGAGAGGACATGCCCTCTCCCTCGAGTGTCCCCTTTCCCTTTCCCACCCCTTCAGTAAAGTCATGCCTGTCACTCAGAGCCACGCGTGACACCTCTCCCAGCTGATCCTAAGAGTGGGGGCTTGGAGGAGGGGTCTGGGCACTGCCTCAGCTTCCCGTGGTCGCGACGCTGTCACACTGCACTGGGCAGTGGCCAGGGGGTGGAGGTGTGGGCAGTGGTCTCACAGCCCCTGAGGCCAGGTGTGGGCCTCGAGGGGAGAAGGAGCAGGGGAGAAGGAGGGTCCCAGTGACCCCCACCAGACAGCAACTTCCTCAGGCCTCTCCTGAGGCTCCCATGGGACAGGGAAGTGTCTCCCACCCTGTGGACACAGGAGGGTCTCTGGCCCAGGGTCAGGTGTGCAGCATGCAGCAAGGCGCCCAGCTGCCCGCGGAGGTGCCTCCCTGGGACGCCCTCAGGGCGCCTGAAGCAGCCCAGACCAGGGGCAGAAGCCTGAGGCCAAGAGCTGGTGGGCCTGTACCCCCAGGAGCCTGCATTGACATTTGGGTCATTAGTTTTACTTGCTGTTATAAATACTGCTGTGGGGAGGAGTCTGAGACGGGAGCGTCTGAGCCTCCTGGGTCAGTTCCCCAGAGCACCCTGGGCTGCAGTCCTGGGCCGGGCACTGGGGATCCTAGGCCTCACATTGCCCAGTGCTGTCCACAAGGAGCTGCAGTCTGCGGGAGGCCTTGGGCAATGAGCTGGAGGCAAGGAGTGCACTGAGGGTGGCCTCCATGGGCAAGGGAGCTGGGGCAGGCAGAAGAAGCACTTCCAAAAGAGCCTGCACAGTGGGTCAGTGGGGCAGGAGGTCACAGGGGTGTGGAGTGGAGCAAGGAGGAGGGCTCTGGCCAGTCTGGCAGGCGCAGCCAGGGGTACCTGTTACCTGGGAAGCTTTAGGGAGCCCTGGGGTGTGGGCCGCAAGAGCAGGTAGGTGGGAGAAAGACTGACGGCAGTGTGTCAGCAGCCAGCAAGGGGCAAACGACTTGAGCAGAGCCAAAGTGCTCATGCACCTGAGCGGGCCGTTCTTCCCAGGAGTCCAGCAAGAGGAAACAGTCCAGGTGTCCCAGAGTCCCAGCACCAGTTCCTCCCCACAACAGTATTTATAACAGCAAGTAAAACTAATGACCCAAATGTTAATCACAGAAGACCTGTCCACAGAACACGACGGGCACAATGCACTCACTTTTAACCAAACTATCCCCTGCCAGTCATCACTAACAAAAATGCAGAAAGACAGCTTGGAAAGCCTTCATGAGGAAAGCCCACAGGCCTGTCCTTCACACCAGCTGTGGCAGGGCCCGGAAGCTGCAGGGGGCACCCTTCCTACCTCCCGGAGAAGAGGAGGAACTGGCACCGACACCTGCTTGTCTTTGTCAATGCAAAGATACACTCAGAACTTCAGAAAATGGTCACCAGGGGAAGTTAGGACTCCGTGCAGGACTGCCCTGGGCAGACTGCGTCCTGGATCGACTTTGGAAGAATGTCGGTTTTCTACATTATTACAAATAAAATTAAAGAAAGACTTAAAAAAATAAAACCCCAGAGAAAGGAAAGGTGAGAAGATGAAAGCTCTCTGCACAGCGGTGGATGAACTGAGAGGAACTGCGCGTGTGTCTCCAGACCTGTGATGTGTGGGACCACCTGAGGGACCGGCGGGAGGAATGGAGGAGCTTGAACTGTGCAAACAGGGTCATGGTGCAACACCACCACGCTGTGCTCTGGGAGCAGTGAGCCTCATTTTATGAAATACAACAAGCAAAGATCTTTGCTATGGGGCTGGGATTGTGGCTCAGCGGAAGGCACTCGCCTAGCACATGGGGGGTGATGGGTTTGATCCTCAGCACCACATAACAATCAATCAAGCAATAAAATAAAGGTTTAAAAAATACTTGCTGATGGTTAAAAATGAAGTTTTTCAGCCTAAGAGAAATACAAACCCAGTGGATCGCTGTTAGGTAAAAACCCTGAAAACTCACAACCGAGCCTGTAGTTCCTGGCCGGGGTAGTGAGCAAGAAAGCACCCAGCTTGCCAGAGATGTGCCCACTCTGGGCAGCGACAGGGCTCTCCGCTGCTCCGCAGCGGGCGTAATTTTACTGTACAATTATATCTCAATAAAATTGGGCTAAAAAATACAAAAAAAAGAGGAGAATCATTCAACTACAAGAATAAAATAGCATAAAAATGGAAGATGTGGCCCCACGTAGTGGCACACCTGTGATCCCAGTGACTCAGGAGGCTAAGGCAGGACAGCCCCAAGTTCCAGGCAGCCTGGGCAACTTGTCTCAAAATAAAATTGAAAAAAAAAGTTGGTGATGAATCTCCTAGCAAGAGTGAGACCTGGGTTCAATCCCCAGGGCCACTGCCCAGCAAACGAAGACACACAAGTGAGGAGCAGACTCCTGCTCCGTGAGGTGCCTGCACCCCTGTAGCTGGACTCCCAGGAAGAGGACCAGAGGCAGCACTTGAAGCAATAACAGTTGAGAATTTTCCAGATCCATGAAAACATCATAACAAAACTCTAGGAACCCAAAGAAAACCTTGAAGTAGCCAAGGACAGATTATATTCCAAAGAGGGACTGTTAGCTCATGTCCCGGGACCACTGCACAGAACCTGAGCTGTGCCCGGGAATCAGCCCCAGTCTCCCAGCCTTTCCTTGAGAGACGGTCCTGAAGAAGTGAGGTGGCAAAGCTGGTCTCAGGACACGTTTAGATTCTAAGGGTCATATTCAGGCAAGAAGAAAATGACCTGGAAGGGAGGAGAGCAGAGATGGTGGCAACTTCTGGGACATTGCACAAAGCCGACGTTTGAGGGATGTGAGAGCTGTGCAGATTTCATGTGCATACTGGATGAGTCAGGGTAGACGTTTTTTGCTTTTTATGATGTGCCACTGATTTAAAATCATGTATGTGGCTAATGACTTCCCTGTGGCCTGGCTCTGATTTAGACCACGTACATTTCAGATCAGCAGTCGTGTGTCTGACGTGAGGTCTGCCTGTGCACGCGGTTCCCACTGTGCACTTCTCTGTCTCTCCTTCATTTGGACTGACATTTCATCTTTAAGAGTCGGTTGTGTGCAGATCATCAGTGTGGTGGTTTAGAGAGGAAGGGTGCCAGTGAGTGGATCGAGAGGGCTCTGACCTTATGAGTGGACTAATCTGGTTATCAGTGGATTCATCCAGGAATTCCTAGCTGATAACTGCCGGGAGGTAGTAGGAACCGCAGGAGAAGGAACGTGCTGGAGGAAGTGGGTTCTTGGGGCTGTCTCCTTGGGAACTGTATCTTGACCCTGGTCCTCCCTCTCGCTGCTTCGGGGCTGCCATGAGCTGACCAGCCTTCCTCCACCATGGCCTTGCTGCAGGCCCAAAGTAATGGCACCAGCTGACCGTGGACCGAGTCCTCCAAAACCACTCGCCAAAATAAATCTCTTCTTTCCTCACATATTTTGTTACAGAGACAAAAGTCTGACGTGCACCATCAGTTTGAGATCTTGAACTCTTTCACTTCTTCTAGCACTATCCAGAAACCCCAGCCTGAGTCTTGGACAAGTAATTCTACTCTGAATGATACCTTTCCTTTCCTCCAGGAGAATGCAAGAATCTCAGGTTATTTTAACTTCATTTCCCATGTTTGAATTATGCACAGTTATTGTGGGACAAACCTGGGAAGGGAGGTCGGTTGACGCAGGCCTTGATGCTGGTGACCTGCAGTCACTAGTGTGCCATTTAGGCATGCTGACCTGGAGACC